TCCCTCTGTCTCTCACCCTCTCTATTCTTCTCTGTCTCTGTCCCTCTCTGCCTCCCTTTCCCTTCCCCTGTCCTCCACCCCTGCCCCTTGTCTCTCTGAAGGTTAGGGTTCTCTCTGTTGCTAGCCCACTTCCTTTTCCATTCAGACATTTCCTGGACCAGATCCCTTACACTATTTCTTTCACGTAGCAAGGGAAATGTGTGCTGCTCCCTCTTTCTCTGCGTCACCTGCAACTTCATTCATGTGCAGCACGGTGGGAACCGTCCTTGCTGCCCTCCCGCGTGGGTCAGCAAACATTTAGGATAAACATTTATTCCACCTGCCCTTCCCTTGGCCCCTTCCTGCCTTTGGGTAAAGGGGAGAAAGGTCATACCATCGACTTTACCCACTGGGCCCCTGGCCTGAGCTGCCTAACTCCACCCTGGGGCCCATGAGGAGCATTGGTAGAAAAATCACCTGAACTCGTTCATCAGCGATGAGCCACCTCCCACCAAGTGTTATCCTCCCCATCCCAGGAGTTCTGAACTCCCAGCTGTCAACATTCAAAACCTGTTCTCCAAGTTTTGGGTCAAAGAGCATGATCATTTTTGTTACTTTATTTGCATGATTTCAAAATGGTTATACCAATTCTGGGCTCCACTAACAATGTATGAGTGTGCTTACCAACAGCCCCCTCCAATGATGACTATTGATGTTTTTTAGTCATCTTTGCAGTTTGCCGGGTGAAGCCCAGGTGGCTTTGATTTGCATTTGTCTTACTAGTGATTTGGAGCATCCTTTCACGTGGCTGTTAATGGTTTGTGATTCTTCTGAGAAATATCCGTGTTTGTTTGTATAACTTGAATACCAAACCCTTATCAAGGAAACAAAAAAAAAATCCCATTCAACTGTTTCCCTTCTTCTCCCTTGGTGTATTAATGTTGTCTGTGTAGACACTTTTCAGTCTGAAGTAATAATTAAAGTTCTCCACTCTGTCTTTTGTACTTTCTCCATCCTTTTGTTAAGGATTCATCCCCCTACCATAGCAGTGAGAGGTATGTGATCTATTT